GAGATTAGTCTATTAATTCCCCATGTTTGTGAAGAAATAAAATAATCGGTTCTGATCTGAAACAGGTGATGAGACTGTGTGTGTTACAATGGAGCGTTCAGAGAGATCATATGAACTGCTTGGAGGGTATGGTGCAGGACAGAAGCTGTATGATTTAGAGAGAGAAGCTGATGGAAGCATGTGCATTCTCTTCTCTCCTCAAACTTCTCAAACTCATCCACTAAGGGTAAGGCTTCCCACTCTTGCTGCTACCAAACAGCACCTTCTAGCCCTTGACTACCACTGATTCATATTCTTGCTCATCTTCTTTTACATACATATAATTGAGAAACACCTCACTTGTATTCAAACTGATAGCATAGGTGGTAATTATCTTGAAATTTTTAATGTTTATGATATCATTTGTAGTGTTTTGTTTATGAGAAATCCATCTTTATTGAGATAAGAATGAATGAAAGAGAACAAAAGAACAAGCTAGAGAGCTAAAAAAACCAGCCCAAAACAGCCCACAACTAAGGGAGTTGGAACAACTAACTATGCAAAAGAAGGCMCAGTCTCAAATAATGAAACCTAACGAATAATTGTAAGAGTTGTTGAAGACCGTCCAAGAGACAATTTTATTAAGTTAACTTTTAAGTTACAAAGTTTTGATGATGAAGTTTTGATGCTTTTGTTGATTTAGTTACTCGGGTTCTAATAAGTTCTAATTAGTCCTCCAACTTTGAATTATGACGTTGGAGTTGGAGAAAGCTTCAACTAGTCATATCTAAAACTTTGGACGACCACCTATTTTTATTGATAACCTAAATTCTGTTCTTTAACAAATTAATTTTTTATTACATAGTAGTGTATTGAGAGAGTTTTTATGAATCAAATCTTAAATAAAGTAAAAATTATCATAAGACTTTTGCTTTAAGATTCACAATGATAGGTATAATATGTTGAAATTTTAGTATAGAAAATATATAGAATAAGAGAAAAGAAGAATGAGTAGGACGAGCAAATTTTAATGTCCTAACACCCTATACTATATGTAGTCTACAAAGTTTGCAATAGCCTACAAAGTTTGTCTTGCAAGATGCAACAACCGATTTGTAACAAAAGTCTATCGATATTTTTATATGTTTACTAGTGACGAATTGATATTTTTCATAATCGATAAATTTACTAAAAATATAAGTAATATTGACATAATATTAATAATAAGAATTTTAACTTATTTAGAATCAGGAAAGGCTTCTTTGTCAACTTTTATATATATATATATATATATAATTTTTTTAAAATATCGATTATTCTTATTAAGAAAATATATATATATATATATATATATATTTTAGTACGAGTTTATTTCAATTGTTGGATATAATATTAATTAAATATGAGGAACCATTCGCGTGGCACTAGATAAGCCATAACGTATGAATTCCCAAGAACTCCATCTCCTTCCGCACAACCTCAATTCCTGCAAATCCATAACTCAACTGAAACAAATCCATGCCGTCGCCATTAAAGCAGCTTCTTCCTCTCTCCAAAAGCAATTCTTCTATCCCAAACTCATTTCCCTCTCTTCCGCTTCTTCCTCCTCCCGCGACCTCTTCTACATCCGCTCCATCGT